ATGCTGCTCGAAGGCAGCGCAGGCTGCGCTGAATTCTGCTTGACTGCTTTAATAACGTCTTGCCCACGTTCAGCAAGCACTGCCCGAAAGCAGTCCCAGCCTACCCTCCTGAATTGCCGGTTTGGAGGATCTCCAGGACACCCCAAAAAGCTTCCTTCGGTGGGGTCGGAAACGCAGCCAGCAGCCAACCCCCTTAGGACAGATCAGCATGGCTGGACTCAAGCCGAAAGCTTTTCCAAGGAAGCGCTCGTAAAACAGCTGGCAACCTACAACACAAAACCGATGACTCCTACAAAAATAACGGGCTGAAAGAACGCGTAATACTAGTTGGACCGTTCTTTGCACAAGCACACATTTTTCGACCAATCACACCATGGAGATGAAGAAAGACAGCAGTGCTGATATGTGCTCTTTGGCAAAAACTGCACACCTTGTGCTCAAACAGGTGCTTCTGCTACAGCTGCTGCTACCAGTGCTGATGCTAATGCTGATAATGCTGTCGCCCTACTCCTCCTCCTCCATTTCTCCCTCCTCCTCCATGTCCAACGGCAGTCGTAGTTGGGGTTAGCCTGGAGCAGGTCACTCAGTTTCATGCTCGTGGCTCTCCCCGCCCTGCTGTCCATGCTCATGTGCTCGACACCTTACAAAAAACTACCTGCACGTGTGTGGTTCGTGCCTGCCCAGAGCCTGCTCGAAGTTTTCGTCCCCACCTGACCGCAGGTTCATGATAGGTTTTTGGGATCTCATCTTCCGGCCTCGCAAGCAGCTGTCCAAAATCAGGACGATTTGGACAAAGGGGGAACAAGGAAGCTCGTAATTGTTTGAGTCTAGAAACTTCAGGGCTCGGGGCTTGTAAATAGCTTTACAGCAATTTGAAATGGAAAGCATTCTGCACTTGTGATGGCGATCGCACCAAGTGGCATAACCGCCTGCGGGTAGCAGTGGAACGCACCCGGAGCTCCTTCTTGCTACCACGCCTGGTTGTTGGTGGTGCGTCTGAGGATGGTATTGCACGTGGGAGTGGGCGGCGCCCAACGGACGTCTCCTTGCTCCTCTGGACCTCAAGGATCCGACCGCCTGCGACCTTGCTGTCACTGCATGCGGCCAGAGATCGTTCAGGGGAGCGCCCTGCTGACTACGAGATCCGCAAACCAGCGCTGCAGTGACGATGGTTTGCAGTCTCGTGGCGCAGGTTGGGAAGCTGGAAGGCTCTGGGGAGCGCGGTCGCCGCAACGACTGGCGAGCCCGCTGCGGCAGAGACTGCTCCGCTCTTCCAAGCCCCGCCGGTGCTGCTTTGCGCCGGCAGGACGCTGAGGCACTCCTGCATTCGCATTCAATTCTTCTGACCCGAGCCTGACTGTGCGCACCCTGCGCCGGACCGTGGTTCTCTTCTTTTCTCTCTGCTCCGGAGGGCGGCTTAGTTGCACTCTGTATCACTCTGTGCTGGTGCTCTCTTGCTCTCAGTTTCCACGCAAGGCTGCTGGACAGACGAGTTCAGTTTTTTCCACTTGCGCAGCCCATGTCGGTCGTGTTTCCCGGTTCACGTTGCTAAGCAAGTGGAACCACAGATGTCACAGCGACCGACATTCGGGGCTAATTGTTACAGCCGTTTGTGCAGGACTCTAGGAAGACTGATTCCGGAAGTCGGGTCTGCTCACCCACATTCTGCGCACTGTTGCTCATCTGTACTGCTTCTCAACTAGTTCAATTTAGAAGCCTTACTTTATACAACAAAGCGCATTCCGCTGGCGAACAAACCTTTATCTTCAGACGCATAGAGTTGAACATGAAGCTATTTAAAGTCTAATCTGCCTGCAGACGAGCAGTCGTCACCATCAAGCTTCGGGCCAAGCGCGCGGACCTCACCCACATCGGCAGACTCGAGACCTTGCCAGACAAGACTTTCGCCAGTCAGGAAGTGCATCATTCTGGATGTCTTTGCCCAGCAGTCATGGTCAGCCGAGGCCTCACTTCCAGTTCGCTGGTTTGCGGCCGCTGCCCTCCTCTGTGCAGCGGCGCTGGGCTTGGCGTTTGATTCTCGCTGAGCTGAGAGAGGTCGCTTGTCGTTTGGAAGTAAAGTTAGGCCACGTGCGGAATCATGGCCGTCGCAAGGCCGGGCTCCTGGAAGTCTCCTGCCGGAAGACTTCGTTCCTGGTTCATCCTGGTTCCACTTACATTGTCACATAGCGTATGTATGGCCAGAAACTAGACTTGCCAATCGACATCATAGTCATTCCATGTTACTGTTCGTGAACTATGAAGGTGAGCGCATCGCGTTAGTCGTTCACGAGAGTCGTGCTTGCATAAAGAGGCACTCAAAGCTGTAGGCACGCTTTTAAACAAGTCTGTACTGAACAGGCATGGCGGGCCCAGCGACGAGAGCAATTCAGCATCTTCTGTTCTGCGTGGGGGGCTCGGCGTTGCTCGCCTATATAACCCAAAGAAGATTCTAAATTTGTGCACTTCGAGGACTTGTTTGGCGTGTCCCATGGTTTCATGTTGTGTCTTAGGGTGTTTTTACGAGAGGTCGTATCGTGACATCGACCGAAGCGGAGCTGAAGCTTCAGAGGATGTCTGTCTCCAGTATGCAGCCTCTTTCAAAGCCAATCATGACCATACAGGACCTAGTTGATTTGTTTCTTGGGCGTGGCCCTTGCTCAACACAACTGAAGCATGCTTAGCAGTTGTGTCCGCAGGGCCGCTGCCTACAGTGACCAAGGCAAATGAGCACGTATCTTCCAAATCATGACCTCACTTACAGTTCTTGCAAGAAAGCAATTTCTTTCAACTGAAATGAATTGTTTTTGAAGTTATTGTTCAAAATCTGGGTGTTCCTTGGACCGGCCTACAACTTGTCTCTCCTGAGCAGTCCCATCCTGCAGCAGGTGAAGAGTGGTTGTTTTTACACATAGCTAGTAAGGCATATCAACTGCAAAAAGACAGCCTCTTGCCCCACGATGTCGCATATCCTGTTGTCCATCTGTAGCTAAATCCAGCCCATGACTTTGCAGAACGTATATCTGTAGGAGCTGAAGGTTTTTGCATCTTGTTTCTGTTTGAGGCGGTGATGTCACGGAGGCGGATGGCCAAGCTTACGTTGAACTTTTCAGAGCAAGGGCCGCTGTGCCCCTACGCAGGCTTTTACCTTGACGAGGTCCAACTCCGGGGAGGTCAGGGGCTGAGTCGTTGAGTCGTTAAGTGAGTTTGTTAAGTGAGTCTGGCTGTCTGGACTCAGCGGTTGGACTGCACACAGACCCGAGCCCAAGCCCTGCAGCAAAATCCGCCAAGATTCTTGGCATCATCGACCAGTATGCGCTCACCGGGGTTAGCCTCGGTGGATGGCTGTGCTTAGAGGACAATGCAGATGGGATGTATGCTGAAGTTCTGATTTCTGCTCTGAGAAGGACTGGTTCTTCTCCATGGGCAAGGGCAGAAGCTTGGCTGTGGACTGCTTCACGTCAGAGCTTTTTTTTTTTCATGCATCTTGACATGTATGCGGACTGCAAAGACTTGCTGTCCTTGGAAGTCCGGACTCAACTTACTTAGTCGCTTTACAGAGTTGCATTCGCTCTTTTACCGGTGAAGTCTGCTAGTGTGAGAGGCCTTGATCTTCCACTGCATGCCTTCAGCTGCGCTCGATGCTCTACAAACCTCCCTGAGAATCCTTTCGACATCTTTCGACATGGGCGTGTAATGAAGTGTGTCCACGGCACTGATTACCCACGAAGCCTGCTCTGTCAGCGTTGCAGTCCCAAACTGAACTCCCACCGACTTCTGCCTCCCTCGCGCGCCCAGAGCTGGTCGCCAGCTCGCATCAGCAGGGCCAAGGGCAACTGGAGGCTGCAAGAAGCTTTGGAAGAGGTCTATGTGATTCGCAGGGTTCAGATTGTCAACCTTGAGCCTCGCATTGACAGCAATGAGCGGGCTTACAGTCTTACTGCAGCTTCAATGGCCCAAGGTATGCTTTGCCTCCGCGCATAAAATTCATGAGCACTCCATGGACGTCCGACGCATGGCAGGGAACATTATGCCCCAGCTCAGGGCTTCATCATGGCAATTGGAGGTTGAGCATCGTGCTTGAAAAGTTTGCGCCAAGGAAGGGCTGCTCACGCAGCGCCTCATCAATGAGCACGGGCAATTCCGCGTCCCCCGCAAAAATTCGTTGCCAGGGACCAGTGAATACCACTGGCTGGTCAAGCTATGCTACAAGGCAGATGTTGGTGCAGTTTGGAAGGTCGTCCTACTGGTGGTGGCCAGGAAATGACGAAAATCCCCCCAGGCATGTGCTAGAAGCAGGTCCTCACCTCAAAGTGCTGTAGCATCTAAACCCTGATGTGCCACATCCCAGGCAATCAACACGATCAGCGACTACCGGGCAAGCTTCTTGAAAGCAGAGGCAGGCTCTGAAGAGGGAAGAGGGATGCGGGTCTGGTCAGGGACCTGCTTGACCACAGCTGGTGTTTCCTTCAATCAAGATAGGCGTGGGAGCTTCCGAAGTCTATCGCCAGTCTACCGCTAGAGTATCAGTCTCAATGTTCGAAGGTAAGGGCAGTGTGGTCACTGTGTGGTTGTGAGCAGGGTAGTGAGTTTCAATAGTCCAGCAAAGATGGGACCTAAGTTCGTCGCACCATGCTTACAGGTGCCGTGTCTTTGCACGGGTTGGGCCTAAGCAACCTGTCATCAGGAGGCATGCTCAGAAGAAAGGCAGGAATGATTGAATTCACCGTGCAAAACGCTACCTCATGATGCAAGATTGTGTGCAAAGATCGTGGCTCCACGTGCTGCAAGTCAGGATCTTCGTGAAATCGCAGCCCTGGGCCTGCGAGTAGTGCTTTGGTTTGAGTGAGAGCTGTCACCTTGTTTTGGACTGGTCGAAGTTTTTGAAGTTGAAATCTTCTTTTACCTGCATGAAACGCTCTGCAGCGCACTCACCAGTCACCCGCACTTCCTGTCAAAGTTCGCGAGGGCTTTTGATTTCAAGCAGTCTGGCAAACCTGTCTATGTCTCAGTGCCCGTGTCCAAGAACATGCAAAGGCAGCAACGGGCTGTCATCCTTTCGACTGTGCGCATGTAAGGTGCGGCTACCTATTACGTGGGCAGCCTTTGCAGATGCCCTGCAACCTTTGGACAAGGCGGGAGTAGTTGGTATGCAGGAGCATAGGCAAGGTGCTCCCAATTTTCTCTGCCTCGCTCTGCCTGTGAGGCAACTTATGGAGCCCACAGCGCAGATCTGGACATCGTCACCGTGTACCTCGGAGCAAAGTCCAAAGTTGGCAGCTGCGGAAAGTGGCCGAGGGTGGCCGGGTGTAGCAAGGTTGCTTGCAGTTTGCTTGCTCTCTTGCTTGCTCGATTTGCTCGCCTGCTTGCTTGCTTGTTTACTTGACAATCCACTCTTGCTGTGCTCTATTGAGAGCGTTGAACCACAACACGCGAGGCCGGATCCCTTTTACAAGGCGCGAGAATCAATTAGAGGGTTTGGCTGTGTCATGGTCTCGAGCTTCGATGCGCATATCTTGGAAACGTCTGAAATTGGTCTGTGGAGATTCTGGTCATTGGCCAGGTTATTGTTAAACGGCAACCGATGGTCTGACCAGGTTTCTGGTCTAGGGTTTCTTGACGTTCCTACATGTGCCAGCGCAATGAGCGTGCAGATCAGTACGTCAATGCGCCTTGCGGCAGGATCAAGCTTCCTTCGTGACAATCCCGCGGCAGATGCTGTCCGACTTCTTGCGCCAGGCCAAACAGAAACCCTCAAATGGTGCTTGCTGAAGCAAAGTGGAAGATTTGCACTGGGGATCAGGCTCAGTGCAGGCAGAAAGCTGGTGCAAGGTTGCCAGGATGTCGGAGCATTGCCACAGATGAGTAATTTCCGATAGTATTGTCTCTTCCAAGCTGCTCTTTGTCAGATGGCGCTGCAGTGTTTCTGTGCTAAAATCAGGCAAAGCTCAGCGGACTGCGTGTGATCCTCGCCCAGCGCTCAGAATATCCCGACCCGGCTGGGCATAAAGTCCTTGGCCTAGCATTTCGGTGATTTCAGGTATTTCAGGCGTATGTTCTTCAAGCTCCATGTTCCTTGCAATACGAACATGGGGGAGTATTGCACAGCATTTCTCCACAAGTTTAGAAACCAGTGCCCCATTGTCGAAAGCGGCTTGGTTTGAGCTATCCAATGTCGGGTTTGATGAGCGGGAGTTAGGCAGAACTCTACGCCATTTAGCAGTGTGCTTACAAGGCTTAGTCGGGCATCGGGGAAGGCTGTGAATCGCACCCCGCTGCATGCAGGATATTCACGCGTATCCTGGGGGTGCGTCTCACGGAACCTACAACGGTGTGTGGCCTTTGAAGTGCGCATTCTGGACGGTTCCTTGGCTGCATTGTATGTTGTAGAAGAGTTGAAGGACTGGCAGATTCATTGTACTAGGGTTTGTCTTGCCCGGGTCTGTCTACAGAGGTTGTTGGAGATCTAAGCCCCCTGGATTAGGGCCACTCTGGTTTTGGATTGGCAGTGTGTTGACGCAGCTTCGATTTGCATTGGTATCCCACTTTGCGTGCCTAAACAGCGCAGAAGATTAGGAGAAGTCCAAGATTGGGCCAGAGAAAAACTTGACGGAAGTCGGCATGTGGATCGTCGAGGACGCTTGGCCTGGTTTCAGGTGCTGGTTGGTGGCACATGGCCCTTTCTTGACTGTTATGTTGCCTTCATCTGCCCTGAATAAATGCCAACTCCCATCCCAGATCGAATGGAGCCCAGATCCCAGATGCGCATAGGGCCTCTTAACATGTGGCTTAACTGCTCAGCAAAGCGTATGTGACTGAGAAAATGATCCACTGGATCGAGAATCTGGACTTCGAGCCACAAGGCCACCAACATTTCCTTCATACCTTTGCTTTACTTTGCTGTTGGTCAAGCTGCTGATGGTTTGCGTCTGTGACATGGCATTTGTGTGATGGAGCACAGCACAAGTGCTTTTCATCCACAACACATGTGAAGTTTCTGGGCAATATACAGCAGGCAGAGAACCCCAAACTTGTGGACTGCTGGCAAAGTTGAGGACTCTTGCAGCGCATCTGCAGAATTTAGGTCTGCATCATGACAAATTGCCAGGGCAGATCGCAGACACTCGTTCGCAAGCACTTCAAGGAGCACCACAAGAACTCCGTTTACAGACTACTCCGAGACGACTGCAAGCCCATGGTCCCCACGACACTCTTGTGAGAGCGTGATTGGCAGCCATACCGTGAGTTACTCCGCACGTGTGCGAGGCGACCAGCAAGAACTTGCGTTGACGCTCCATGCGAGATTCGTGCGCGGTACCCCTCAAGGAGCATGGGCGCACTGACACAATCCCGAACTCGAAACGCACAAACCCAGTGTTAGGATGAATGCTTGAAGAAAAAAACTATAAGATACTGTATTAATAAGCTAAGCACTAACGTGTGCCTCCTCGGACTGGCCCGATCAGGGGCCGGGACTGCCACTTGAGCTGTTTTGTTGAGGGGCCCACAGCGAATGAAATTCAACAGAAATTCTGACATGTCTGCAAGCCCGGAAGCCTTGGTAACTCGGGGATGCCCAGCAGACCCTAAGATGTGAAAAGTCTCGAAGCGCTGAGGATAGCTGGGCATGCCAGCAACAACCGTATCAGAGATGGATTGGGAACTTAACGGGCCTCTCCAGGTACTGCGAGCCTCTTCTTCGTAACTAGTTAATTCTATTCTTGAGACTGCTGTGGTGGGAGAGTCTCAGTTTGCCTGTTATGTGGGCAGGGGAAACTTGAACTAGGCAGATTTCGGAGGAGTCTCCCTGAGGAGAATCGACCAAGAGTGGATGCTTTGAATTCATGGGTATGAACCCCATGCTTGTGCTGAAGCCATACCTGGAATTTAGGCAGAATTCGATGGTGGGTGTCGAGGGGCTATGGCAAAGCTGCAACCCATCCCTTGCAGGCGCCATTGCTGGAATCGTGCTCATGAATGAGCCCGGGCACATGAACCGTTGGAGTCTTGATGGCGCAAGTTGGAACATTGTCATGTATCCACATTTTCACGTGACTGCTGCTGCCATTGTCTTCCTGCATGATCTCTTCGTCTTTGGCCCCAGCCTTGAAGCCAGAGCATGTTTGGTAGCTTGAGCGCGCAGACATGTTATACCGTTGAGGGGATTTAAGAGAACCATGAAGAGGACTTGTCGGCGTATGTGGCAGGGCGAGAAGCGTTGTGCTGGCTGCAATCAAGCTGCAGAATTCAACAGGTTTTCTGGTGCATGAACTAGCCCATTGCACCCTTTAGTTGAGGGAGGTGAACTTGCTTGTTTGCTTGCTGCTGTTCAGGAAGCAGTTTGCAGCTGACAAGGCCAGTGCAGCATGCGGAGCACCTTTTCGATTTCATGGCTGCTACGCATAGCCAGTGAGTCTGACATGAAAGAGTTGCTGAAGGCAAGGGCTTGGCAACATAGCATTCCTGTATCACTCGGCAAGTCTATCACCTTTGACGCTGCATCTCCTTGGTCCTTGTGGACAAGCCTTGTGGCGAGGCCATCCTGGCTTGGCTGAGCGAGGCATCTGCTCGCTACTCGCGTCCCCCGCTGCAATGCTTTCACCGCTGCTCTGCACATGCAACTTCCCTACAGCTTTTATGCTTGTTCAAAAAACACGGGCCAGGCTACGATGTTTAGGATTCCATCTGTCAGGCTTTAATGTCTAGCCACAAAGCTCATAGCTTTGGCAGGTCTATCAGAATGAGATCGTGAGCCTTAGCCGAGGCTCAGAACTTCCCTTTCTGGGCATCAAACTCTACATGAACTTGGTTGAGACAGCTTTTCAGGCTCCTGGAGCGCTTAGAATGCTGAGTTGGGGAAGTTCAGAAGAGACTGAAGACCTGTGAAAGCTGTGGGAGGACTTCGAAGGCGTTGTTGTCCCCTGGTACCACAGCACGTTCTCGCTTGAGGAGCCGGTAAGTCGGGCCCAGCCCGGCCCCTTATCTCGTTTCTGAGTTGAGTCAGATAGCTGCCACTGCCGCCACGCTGTGTCTGAAGGAGAGAAAGACTCGGGTGGTTGCTGATGTGCATTATTACATGGCAACTTGCCTGCAACCTGCGCATTCATATGCGAGGCCAAGCTAGCTTTGATAAACGTGGTTCTGTGCCATGAGAAGATCAATTCCCTCAGTGAATGGCTTTGACATGTTTCTGACATCGATGCCGCCATACCAGGCCTGGGATTACCACGTCTGCGACGGGCGAAGCGATCCATTCGGAGCCTACTCGTGCACCCAAAACTACCAAGGCGCGACACTCAACCTGTCAGTGACGCAAGTTCCAGCTTTGCCACGAAGGCTCGAGTGAATGCAGTGCCCTCTGAGTCTCTCAAGTTCCGTTTGACCTGTGCCTACTGACTTTCTTGCATTCAGTGCGCTTGGTTTCTCCGCAGATTCTTTGTGCTGATTCAACGCGCCCCATTCTGTATTGCATGAGTTCACAGGGGCAAGCTGGTCACACCAAGGCAGACTTTTGAGTCTGTATGACGCCTGACGCAACCGCGCACTGTCAATCGTGAACTGCCTCGCTGCTGTATTTCGCTGGATGGAATGGCTTGCTGTCTTGGTGTATCGCTACTTTTCCTTCTTTCTCTCCCTTGTGTTCTTCGTATCTTTCTTTTTGCTACGTTTTTGCGGGTGGCGCTTGGTCCGTTAATTGCAGCAGTCCCCGGGAACGATCAGCTTGCCATCTCCTAGGTGCTCGCCTTAGACCTGCTACGGAAATGGCGAGCAGACGCCACAGACATGCACAAGACGTCATCCTCCCAAAATGCGCGAAAAATCGGATGCAGGCACTTTGCGTGGCTGTGCTGAAGGAAATGCATCTTGGCAGCCTAGGCAGGGTTGGCTCAATTCCTGTTTGAATCTATGCAACATCTGAGTTTCAAGATTCGAATGAGCTTGAGGTAAGAGAGCCAAGTACATGCATGGCCACGTGTCCGGTAAAAAAAGCTGTCACTGGGTGAACGCTGCATTTGCGCAAAACCCTGAGAAGCGAAGGGGCAGGAACGTCACGCTTGTCAAGCAGCCTTTTCAGGCAGTAGTTCCAAGGCTAAAAACATGCGCCGACGCTGGAGCCAGCACGACGAGCTGGTTGCAGATGCTGGCTTGATGTTTGACAAACTTGGTGGATTTTGATCTAGGGCTTGGGGTGAAGGCTTGTTGTTTGGGATGCAGCGTAGAAGGCTGCCATGCAATCTTTCTCAGTTTTAGCTTTGCCGTCGCACACGTTTGACTGTCCATTCTTGTTCTTGTCATGTCGGGAGCCTTCAAGACATCAAAATTGTTCATGTGCAGTTTATGCTCAGAGCGGGTCCTCGATTGAAGTTGATGCATGCAAGCTGCCAGCTAGGAGACAGATTTGCATCGCAGTGTTTCTCGATGTCGCGCATGAAGAGAAAGAATCAGGTGAGCGAGTTTTCTCTTGGCACGTTCGACCAGATAGATCTTGCCTGCAAGGAGCACCCTTGTACTCCAGTGTTTTACCTCCTGCACTGGTTGCCCAGGGGTTCAGATCCAGTAGGAAAAGCAATGTTTACCTAGATTCTCTGGACAACTGGGAAGGCGAGAATGTTGGCTCGTGCTGCTAAACAAGTCTTGGCTTCCAACACAAAGTCTTGCAGCGGACCGGCCTTTGAAGCAATCTTTAGCGCAGGAGCTTCCAGTGCTGGAAACGATGCTGAAGGAACAGCTGGCCACTGTTTCGCAGCTTGCGGGGCTCTGGTAGTTGTAGTTAAGATTCTTTAGCAGTTTGTTGCAAGATGCTGTAGTCAGGGCAATCCCCACAAGCATTCACTAAGCGACACGCAGCAGAGCCAACCTGGATTGGCGGCCCTAGCAAACTCAAGCCTCAAATGCTGTGCCGGTTGTGTTTCGGTTGCAATTGAAAATGCCGATTCTGGGTGAAACGCCACAGCTGTATTCTCAGGCCGCTTTCGCAAAGTACAACTTCGAGACCATCTTTTGGACTTGGAAAATGCCTTATGCCACAGACTTCCAGCTGCCTGGGTGCATTACAAAGCAGGCTGCTGAATCCGAGCTGCTGGTTTTGAGTATGCGTGGTGAGGCCTGGCTGGTCTCTCAAATGGCTTCTCAGCCAGCACCAGGACCGCAGCTGCAGAAAGGGCAGGCCTAGATACATGGTAGCTGGCATCGCTGGATATGTCTGAGACTCCTAGGGTCCTAACGCGTCCACTCGTGGTGCGTACGGCGAGCTTTGGCGGCTGGCTGCCTTTACCTTACGACTTAGCCCATATGTGCTCTTATTATCTCGCGGGTACCTATATATTGGGTTCCGCCACTTTGGCTAGATATTCCTAGAGCACATGGATTTGGACAGCATCAAGTCATAACGCACGCCCAGATGCAATCAAAAAGCGCCCGCTTTTCGCCGTGCAGAGGAGCGCAAAAAATGAGATGTCCTGCGTCCGGCGCCTGTTTGGATGCATCAAGTTGCTGTCCTTCTGCATTCTTTTTCAAGTAGACAAGCAGCAAGATCTGTGAAGGGATGTAGGCCAGAAGCGCTGCAAAGATAGATGCTGCATCCATAAAGGATTACAGCCATGTTGAATAAATGATCAGTCTATCCACTTGGTCCAATCACCACAGGACACTACTCAGCTGCTATCTTGCCACTGGTTGCGATACGCAGCTAGGATGATCCGTGGACTATACGAACTCTCCAGCATAAAGCGAGTGACCTGTCCTCCAAGCATGCAGACTGAATATCCAGACTATATGACCCGTATATGCGACATGATTCAAAGGATACAGGTGGCAGCGCAATGCACAAGTATCCCATCCCAGCAGATTCTCAAACAGGCAGGCATCCACGCGGCACGCAAGGTCGATTGTACGCACAAGACGACCTGGTGTCTACCAATCTTCCACAAATTGTTTGAGACGTTTTTCCATTGGCCGTTGGAGACGGACATCGTGTGTGATTATTCGTGCCGGAAGAACTTGGGGGGGGCCTTGAATCGACATGGCGCGATTTGTGACTTCCAGTCTTCAATGACCAAGCCACCGCCATGAGCAGTCTGCTGCAATTGCGGTTGCGTGCCCAAGCACGCCTTAGCCTAGCTCCGTCTTCCAAGGGGTCCTCAAAAAATACCTGCCGCTTTCTGCTGGTGCTGGATGCTTGTGAAACAGGTCGTCCCAGTTGAGGACGTGAGAAGTTTGAAGATTAGTTGTTAGTCTCATTTCAGTGCGCTGTGTTCTTCTATGCTCCTTTTCAGGAAGGAGACAGTCTGCGCCAGACCATATTGGCAAGAGGACCCTGAGGGTCTACATGCTGAGCATGTTTTTGCAGTCAAGACTCGAAGGGTCTTGTGCAGGAGCCGTAGCTAGTATTTGAGCCGGGCTGTTGCTCATGCACTTGAATCATCCAATCTATCAAAGCTGTCCATTTCTTGGTAGACGCTGGACAAGCTGCCCGCATGGTATGAGAAACGATTGGGAGATGTAGCAAACGTTAGCAAACGTATTGCAAAGTTGGCAGCCTCGATTGACCCTTTGAAGCGGGCCCATGAAGCCGCCGCATGTGAAATGTCAAACGCATGCCAAGAAGGCTGGAAAGGTAATCATGTGCGGCTGTCAGTTTTTCTTCATTTTTTCTTACGCGTTTGCGCTTGCCGTTGAGAAACAGCCCCGTAGACGTCGTGCTCGCTTCGGGATTGCCTGAAGCTGAGGCACTGCTGATTTGGAAGATGGCAAAAGGTGAATACCCTCATCTGGCGAAAAGGTATCATGTGCCGTGACTTATCCCTGCGAGCTGCTCTTCAATCTGCATTTGTCCGCACAGAGTGGCAGCTGACTGAGATGGCCATCGTAGCCCGTAGCCTGCGAGCAAGTAATGATGTCCCACCTAGGTCCTAGGTCAGAGGACATGGATTTCTAGTGCGAGCTCGTACCCCGAAGCCGGCAGCAGATTCTGAGAATAGAATCAACTCAAGACTACCAAGCCTAGATTCCAACTTACCTGAGGCCCTCAACAGACAATGAATGCCAAATTGTGGAAAAGCTTGAGCCGAAGCTTTGGGCTGCTCCTTTGGCCGTGGGACTGCCATGGCGCCCCGCAACCGTAGCCCAAAACGACGTCGAAGCAGAAGTCGAAGTGATCGAAACTTGGATTTCTGGGCCAGCATGACCCACAGGTCTGATGCAGTCCTCAGCTAGGGCTTTCCACTTCACCCCAAAGAGCAGTCAATGATCAGAATGGCTTTCTCGTGCTCCTAGCAGAACGATGACGCTTTCAAAGCATCAGGCTTCTCGCCGCTTGCGGCGTCGAAAAAGCAGGATTGCATTGTTTGTCACCACCAGTTCTGAGCCCACCGAGGAAGGAGAAGACCAAATGATTCCAAGATCACTCGGCAGAGGCAACCTAGATATCAGCTATCAACGATTGATTTCAACATGTGAAGACGCTTTCTGTGGACGTCACCTGTCTCACACAGGCATGGCAGTATTTGCAGCCGGTTCATGACCAAGGTGCAGCAGCTCCGACGAGGATCAAGCGTTGGGGTTGAGGTGCCAGGTCTACCCTGCCCGTGTGAGCTCGTCAGAAGAACTCTTCTTCTCAGGAGGGCATTGTGCATCCCTCCGGTTCAGTTGCTCTGTGCGCAGGCTAATTACACTGGGCTTCTGGCTGGCACATGACCTGACCATGATCCCATCGCGTGCTAAACGATGCGTACATCGTTGACGTTTCCTGGAGTGGAGCTCTGACTACTTGTAGGAGAAGAAGGCAGTCCCCGCAGCTGCGCCGTCCACAGTGGCGAAGCCACCCAAGCCACGCGAGGCAAGTGTGGACTGGAGAAGCTGGAGAGGCTGTAGCAGACCAGAAGAGACCTCTCTTACATCAATTTAGACTCCCGACGTTCAGCAGCTTGAGAAAGTCATGTTGAATCGGTCTACTGTTCCAATTTGAAAGCAAACAGACCTTTGTCCAATCGCGCAGGTCGTGACCGTCACGCTGGCCACAAGGCCCTTTGGCATGGCACCCTCCAAGGAGGCAATTTTGCCATCTGCCAGGAAGTCAAGTTTTGCACTGCCGTGAGGAGTTGTGTGCAAGCACCGTGCAGGGCTTGGCCGTGCTTATCTGCCTTTGGCACTTAGGTGTCTATCTTGAGTTCAGAGGTTCAGGATCTGTATTTTTTTCATGAGAGCAGGCTGCCGCCAGCGGCTATATGGTCGAGAAGGTTGCGGAAGACAAGCCAGCTGCACAGGCAAGCCGCTTATGGTTCATGTAGGATGCGGCTGAGGTTTTGAACGTGCTCTGTCTTGCGCGCTATGTCCTGTGCCACTAGCGTCCAATTCAGTCGCTGTTGAGGCTGTACAGGCCTGACTTGGAGAATTTAGCTTTCCTGGTCCTGGTACTCTCCCGTAACAATAAAGGCTCCCCCTCCAAATTAAAATGACCCCAGAGCATTTACATTGCTTCGTCTTCCACAGCCCCACCCCAGCTTGAGAAACCAATGACTCTTCTTAGAAGCCTTTGAAATGAAGCCTTATACCTCCATCTTGTTTTGCCCCGACTTGGCCACTTTGGAATAGTCTTGCCCTTTGATTTAAAGTAGTCTTCCAGGGTTGTTATGCTCCCGCTCGGAGCGTTCATTCTTGGCGGGCATTATCATTCGGGAGAAGTGTTTAATATCCACCAGCGCACCTTATAATCAATGTTTGCATTATGCTATCACGTGCTATACTGGCAGCATTTCTGTTGTCAGAGGGGATGGGTTTTGGAGTTTTGGAGGAGGGGATTACAAGGGAATCAATCCAACACCTTTTTCAGCTACGATTTCAATTAGCTCCGGATTCTGCTTGCAGCGGGTATTGCTGCATGCCTGTCTGCATTAGTCCGGCCTCAACCGAACACTGCTTGCCTAAGGGGCTTATAATCAGCTTCTGGGAGTCTTGCATCGCCGACTGAGGCGGGCATTGAGCAAGGCTGGACTGTGAAGCAGGTGGCAGGCACGGACTGTCAAGGCCGAACTGTGAAGACTGTGAGTTGAACAGGTGTTCAGGCGGTTTAGCCCGGCGGCCCGCACTGTCTGATGTTGCATAGCAATCATTCCATTGATCCAGGCATGACGGAATGACGATAGTCCCATGATGTAGCGAAGAATGGCCACGTGGTCCACGGAAGTGGTCCGTGGACGCTGCCTGGCGGTGGAATTCTAAATCTGGAACTCAAGGCATGGCATCGGCGGCGGTGCAGGCCTTGCTGAAGGATGCGGCCTTGTCGCTGGCTCAGGATCTTGAAGTGGTGCCTGTGAAGGAGAAATTGCCTTTGGATCCTCGGGGCTTGACTACAGCAAGATCAGCAAAGGTACCATATGGTTGGGAGTTAGAAGGCGTACAAATTTTTGACGAATGGCCAAGATAATTTCAAAGTATTGGATTTGGCAGAGCGGCTAGGGTTTGCTGCATCAGGTTTTCAAGGGTTCCAGAAGCCATCTCCCAAGACGCAAGAGCGTGCAAAAGCAAGGCCGGTCGAGGTGCAGTTCGAGAAGCCGGAATCGGATTCTTGAGTGCAGCAATATGGATTTTTGCTGCGCTGCCGCTGCATGCCCTTAAGGGAGCTGCAATGCCGAAAGAAGTCTGCACTTTTCCGTGTGACCTTCTGCTTGGTTCAGCGGGGTATCAGGAGACACTGCCAAGCAGTGAGGACGAGAATGACATCTTGCCACCAGCTGAGATGTGAACCAATGTATTTAGCAGGGCAGACAGCTTTCAACTCGGCCTAGAATGGATGTGCATGATTTCATTACAGGGTTGGGCGCTTGTACCAAAGATGACGAAGTCCAGGCCTGAACCAAGATCGAGCTGCGTCTTTTCTTTTCTCACTGGGCAACTTTGACACACAGACGCCTCGCATATAGTGATTGCTTAATCTCTAGGGACTCTAGGGCCTTCTCAAATTCTGGGTAGGGCCAGCTGGTGCTTCTGGGGGGTTGGCAAATGTCAAAACCTCCAGCAAGGAATGTGCGCGCGGATCAGCGCCGGGGCAATGAGGCCGCGGGATTCCGGGCGAAGTGTTAGCTACAGTTGCTAAAATTCAGCTTGAAAGCATTTGGGTAGGCCGCAAAGGTTTGGATGCATGCGTGGCACTTCATGATTGCGTGCTCGTATCATTATGGGCCAACCGAACAACATCAGACCGCGCTCCCAGCAGCATCGGAGTGTGCCAACGCTGCTTCTCTGTTGGCTTGAAGCTGCATTCATGATTTCCCATGCGATTGTTGGCCGACGCCTTCTCATTACGAGCCAGTATGCTGAGATGTCTGTTGAACATGAGGCAGCGCTGTCAAACATTGATGATCTGCCCGTTGATCGGGAGCCTGAAGACTTGCCGGTACCAATTTGCTCCTGGCGTATCCTAGCTGCATGGCTAGCTGCATGCGGCCAGGCCCCCTCTAGAGATCTTGGAGACGTCTGGAGATGCAGCTAAGGTGAGGCTGTTGACCGAAAGCTGCTGAACGCTTCTCTCGTGCAGAAGTTGAACCTGGGTCGCAAGTTCATGGAAGTCCTTCGCTAGTGGGGCACAGCAGCTGTTCCACAGGCTCTCAAGATGTCTCAAGCGCTCACTGGGGACCAGCAAAGTGTGATCATAGCAAATTGATCACAAGATGTTGTTCTTGAATGTTCTTTACAGTACAAATGATTTGAATGAACAACTTCAAGAAGCCAGCTGGCAGAGGCATGCTGCTGGCCTGAAGCGACCAACGCTGCATCTCGGCTTGTAATGGAAGAGCTGCGGTTCCGGGGCTCGTAGTGTTGGCATTGTTCCCTGTCAGGGTTGGCAAAAAGCAAGCTGCAGAACACTTGAGCGCGGTGGCGTGAGGGACAAAGAGGCCATAAACCAACAGTGCAGAAAGCCAGACAACGCAAAGCAAAATACAGGCGCGGAATCCACTCCCAGTCCTTTGCCCTGCCACTGACACAAAGAGAAGCTTCAAACTGTTTGGGTCAATGTGGACTCGGCCATTTGGGCTGGGCAGCGCATCCCAGACAAAATTGAGAGGGTTGAGTACTAAGGATGAAGAATAAGTGCGAGCCTCCGTTGATACAGGAACCGGTGAGAGGATCGCCCTTTGCAATAAGCCTGGCCGATTGATCATTGCAAGACTCAAGATGCAGACCGCGAGGATACAGCGGCATGCAATCCCCATCATCGGCCATGCTGATCACTGGGACTTAGCTTCTCGGCAGGCAAGCCCTTCAGCACTGGCAGTGAGCTAAGGAAGACACAGTCCTTCCAGTAATCCAAGTGCCTAAGGGCACCGGTAGCAAGACGATCTTGGGATCCGCTGTCTGCCTTGCTGTTGGGCATCTGTGGAAATAGCATATGGACTGTGCACTTCTTTTGCCATGGCACGCTGTGCTCTTGCGAGCTGCAAGAGCTTTCAATCCTGCAAGTTCTGAGGTCGCGCAAGCGCAAACAGGCGGGAACAGTGTTCCCCGTAAATTGAGTAGGGTTGAGATTTTCTCTTGTGTTGTATTGGGCTTGGGTGTTTGGCCGGTGTCAAGATAATCTGGAGGCCTTTACGCATCGGCCGTTTGCCTGTGATTGTCCTTTCTCAAGAGCTGCGAAGGCTCTGGGAAGACCTTTGCGTTCGTGATTCCGACGCCGCTGGCTAATTTGGAAGATGGGTTCGCGATCAGATTTTCCAAGCCATACTGCACTGTCTTGTTTGGGCCATGCCATGCTATAGACCCGCTGCAACACGCATGGAAGCAGGCAACGGCGTCTTCTAGGACTAGGATGATAGTTGAGGTGATCATTTTAGCGTTGAAGTGTTCAGGCCCCTTTCAAAAGGAAACGTTCATGACGAACCCCACCTCCCCCACATCCCCAAGGATTGCTCGCCTCGTTCTGCGCGGCTGCCCTGCGCGGCCTTTCTTCCCAGGGCCGACAGCCCAGGCCCTCCAAGTCAGGTAGATACCACCCTACCTTTCTGAATGCACTGCATGTTGCATTGTTTAACATGTGACTGGGTAGAATGTGCAGCAAGAGGCCGAGCGTCAGTCACGTGATCGCGTGAGGTGCAAGGAATGCACGGGCCATCCTGAGCGACCAGCCCTGTATTCCCCAAAGTTGTTGGCCCTCGTGGGATGTTGAGCCCTAACATTTTCCGACCCAGAGTCTGTGCTTAGCTTTCTTGATTTCGATGGGTTTTGGAAAGGATCATGCCTGTTGGACTTCTGCATGCAGACAACCCATGCAAGCGCAACCACAAAGCCTCGAGCTCAACCACTTTCAGGCGTGCCCCGTTGTCCTGGTGCGCCGGCTGCGATTAGCTATCGTTGAACATTCGGCTTCTTGTGAAAGCTCAGCGAGGATGTGACGGATGCAAGACACCAAGCGCGAACCGAGGTATTGTCGCCGACTCGTGAGCTCGCAATCCAAACATGCACAGAGATAGAGGTCCTGACAAAGGGGTGCCCGGTCTGCTTGTGGCGGTTTGCTTCGTGCAGAGGGATTGTGACGAACCCAACAAACCAATTTCCATTCGAAGAACTTAAGAGCACTGCCTCAGAATTTTGAAGCATGCGGTTCAAGCCGGAAGTTAACAAACTCCTGTGCTTCGGAAGCTATCACAAAACCCAGGACAAAGCTGTCGCAGAGACTTGGCAGCCTGTGGAATTTCAAGGAGTTCTGCTCCATCTGAAAATGGGCTACGCTGGAGATTTTCCCTTAGACTTCTTCTGTGGATGCAAGCTGAGGGAACGTTTACAAAGCAGAGCATTATCTAAGGATGAGCATCTACGGAGGCGAGACCATCAAGGCGCTTTCTGCGTGGTTGGGCTTGGGTCTGGAGGGGCTTGGGCTTCAACACACAAGCTTCTAGGTTGCCAGGCTACCTCCATCAATCCTTCCCGCTTGATTGAGGTTTGTGCCCCATTACATGTGCAACCATGGCGATCATGAGAGTTTGAGCTGGTTCAAGCACCTAGTCTACCTTTGGTCTGCATTTGTCAGACCCATGCTGGGTCCAAGCGTCATTGGACTCACTAACCGGGGCCTGCGTGCCACACGCCAATTCCAACGTGTGTGGCGCCAACACAGGGGTCTCACATCCCAAACTTTGGATGTTGTCAGGGACACCCTTCCCTTGGTTGCGGAAGCTGGAACGGGCTTCACCAGCCACTTCTACAAGCGCATGTTCGCAGCGCACCCCGAGTTGTTGAATACTTTCAACCTCGCAAATCAGAGCCAGGCGGGCTTGAAAGAAAAAGGGTCCACACTTACATGTAGGTGAGGTATATAGCTGAGAGGAGACCTCCTTGACCCTGGCCAAAGCTAAGGGGAGACAGCAGAAGGCGCTCTTCTCTGCCGTTGCGGCATCCGCAGTATCTGTGCTTGAGCAAGGCACACTTCCAGTGGAGCTGATGGAGGGAGTCAACCAGAAACACTGCGCCCTGAACGTCACCTCCGCCCAATACGACGTTGTGGGAGAGCACATCCTCGGAACGATCACAGATATGTTAAACCCTGGTAAGGAGGTTTTGGACGCATGGGGCGAGCTCTACGGAGCGTTAGCGGGATACTGTGTCAAGCGCGAGGAGGAGTTGTACAAGGCGGCTGAGTCCAAGGCCGGAGGCTGGCGTGGCATGCGCAAATTTAGCCTTGTAGAGAAGACGTCGCGGAGCAGTGTCGTCACAGAGTTCACCTTCAAGCCGGTGGACGGTAAGCCTATATGCAGTTACAGCCCGGGGCAGTACACCACCATTTGGACTTATCCGACAGGCTCCGACAAGCGACAGCCACGGCATTACAGTCTCATCTCCGAGCCTGGCGGTGACCATTATACCATTGCAGTAAAGAAGGAGAACCAGGGGCTGGTGTCTTCCTTTCTACACGACCGCACCGCAGTGGGTGACGAATTCGACCTGTCGCCTCCTTTTGGCAACTTCAGCGTGGAAGGGGCGCAGGAGCTTTGGACCAAGGATGCGGATGCACCAGTAGTTCTCCTTAGTGCAGGAGCGGGTCCAATCTCCAACTCTGACATGTGAATATTCCTGCTAGCCTCTAACTCAGAACCCTGCAGGAGTCGGGATCACACCGATGCTCAGCATGATGGGGACTTTAAAGAACGGAGCCCAGGCATCTGAGCGGCCCGTTCTGTGGCTCCATGCGGCGGAGAACGGTCGGCAACACGCCTTCCGCGATTACATCACTGGCTTGGCCCGTGCTCATCCTGATGATGTGACGCGCCGCGTCTGGTACAACCACCCCAATCCGGATGATGTCATGGGTTCTGACAACAAGGTGCGGGATTCAGTCATATTTGCATCCGAAGTTCTTTTGTGTCTGCTTTGATCCCCTTGTAGTCAGCAGCAACTGAAACGCGACACCTGAGGCACCATTCCACTTCCAGGGAACCATGGACCTGAAGCAGGTCAAGGAGCTGCTTCCGCTGGACAAGCAGAACGCTTTGTACTACTTCTGCAGCTCATCTATACCTGAATCATGTATACTTTCTTGGTTTACGTGTCTTTCTGTTACCTGTCCTTCTGGAGTATACAGGGGAGCTGAAGCAGGGCACTGCAGGTGGCCCAATCCCGTTCATGAAGTCCATTGGCCAGCAGCTGCTGCAGATGGGCGTAGAGAGGCCCCGTAAGCACTGGCTCTAAAGAATTAGCCCCAACAGAGCTTGAGTACACAGCCCTTCAAAACGCTTCAATGTGCTGTGGCGCAGGTCAGCTCTCAATTTTGAGGTCTTTGGGCCTAATGAAGACATCCTTTGATGCAGAGGCCGGGGTGTCCAATGTTTCAGAACTTGGCGTAGAACGCTCCGTGCCTGCCTCCGGTCAGGTTGTTCCAATCTGATCGAGGAGAAGCTGGTTAAGAAGGATCTTTGAGACTCCGCCATGTCACAGCGCCTGATCTTCCAGGATGTAGCAGTAGAGGTCACCGTTTCGACTCACTCATGTTCCGTATTGCTACAGTTTTTCATGCGCCAATCAGGTCTGGGTTTGCAACTTTGGCCTCGGGTCACTTAAGCTGCATTTCACGGAACCCGGAACCTTGCCAAGATTGGCTTTAATGTGCTTTAACTTTTGTGATGCACACTGTTCGCGGCAAGACTCAATCAACTACCTGCTTGGTGGCGTGGTACAAAAGGTGGCAGTGTTTCTGGCTCTCTCATTTGCCGTTCCTAGAATCGAGTGAGCCAGTGCTTGAGCTTTCGTCAGCATGAAGCTTCCAAAGCGCAGTGGCAGGGCTTTGCGCCATTCCTCACAGCTGGGTGTGAATGCATTGATAATGTCAGGGTTACATCTTGCCAGAGGGAAGGATCGTTGTCTTGTAGGAACATCGCAGCCCCTTCCGCAAAACGCCTGCGGTCAGGAGACAGCCAAGAGAGTCGAGGCGGCACCCATCGACATAGTTTGTGCGATGCTCGGCATAAGTCAGACTCAGTGCCTTGAAGGGGCCATCATCCTGAATCCGCAGGCATCAGATCATCTCTTAAGGCCGCACAGCTTGACACTAGAGCCTCTATGCAATCCTCCTGCGTGATCATATCTGAGACCGCAAGATCAAGGACACCTGGTCGGCTAATTGCACTGCTGGATGAAACAAAGCTGCTCGGCTCTCTGCAGAAGACCGTCCTAATCGCACCTTAAACTCAAGGTCAGGAAGCGCTTCAGGCATGTAGTGATCAGGTGGGTTAATAAGAGTACTACGTAAAGCTACTGCCTTGTAGAAGAGCAGTGCGGGCATGCGAGCTCCGCATAGGCATCCTATAAGGGTACCTACCAGCAAGCCACCTAAAACGTCCTTGACCGCGGAGTCCTTGTATGACGCTGACGGAAGATCGCAGCACATGCTTCATGGAAACTGATGGCAGCCTTGTCGAATTTCAAGGCTGTTGGCCTTGACTTCTGGGCAATCCTGCCTTGTTCTCGTACTAAGCCTGAAGCCAACTTGCGAAGTTGCTCCATTTGTCCGGACTCCAGACTTGTTGCTGGTTTGATCATCAGCCTGAATATTCACCTGGCTTCAGTGCAGGCTATCTCTCGCCTATGTTCAGACAGTCATTTTGGATGAGGCAGACCAGATGTTGGAGCAGCGCCTGGCAACTTGTTCAAACAATTATTCGTGGTTTTCACCTAGTCGATCCGCCAGGAAATGGCGTTGTGAACGTTTCACTGGGGTCAATTCCTTTATGCTGCATCGGCAAATTTTCTCATAGCATAAATGGCACGTCGTGCTCCAGAGCTTTCAGTCGACGGAAAGGACCCTTTCCCAAACATAGAAATGGAAGCGAAGAGCTTGCCATGACCCCGTGTCTTGTCTACAGTCGCCAAACCTTAGGAAATCATGTGCGCCGACATCCTTGTGGGACGGGTCGCTTTCCAGCACAGCAATGTCAATGTAGTACAACATTGTCATCAGTTGGAGCAACCAGCGCCAGGCACACCAGCTAATTGGCCAGTGTCATGCAAGGAAGACGTTGCTCAATAGATGCAGTCTTTTGCGCCCCGCAGTTTTGAGTCGCCTGCGCAGGCGCAAATTTGTATTATGGTGCCCGAAAGTGTGTTTTTGCGAGTTCTCAGCTCAATCCCCAACATCCATCTCAACCCCTCTCGGCTGAGTTTGCAGGGTGCGCTAAGAAAACAAAGCGGTCTCACAAAAGCAAATGCGACAGGAGGTTGCAAGCTGTGTGTCTCGTGCAGTATCCTACGCGAAATGCTCGAGGACATGCCTGCACCGAACTCTGGAAGACAGACGCTGCTCTTCAGCGCGACCATTCCACAGCCGCCTGGTTGATCGACAAGATGGCTGACACTGATCAGTTTGAGGTATGGGGTGTCCTGTCTCATGTCTTGAGCGTCTGTACGCTCGTCTTACATGTGTTTCTTGAGCTGCATGGGTACCCAGATGGACATGTGATTTCTCAGGCGTGGGGCTTGGCAGAATGTTATTGCTGAGGCATAACGCCTGCAGTCAGTCAGAATCAGGTATCTTGTAGGCTAACATTCTATTCAGGCAAGAGCAGAATCAGCGTTGGATGGCGTACAGAAAATCCTCGACTTGAGGAGGGCCTTCAGACAGATGTTTAGTTCCCTCGAGAGGAAGATCCGCGACATGTGCCCGCAGATTCTGCGCACTGTGCTTCTCAGATGCAGTACGCCGACGACCAGTTTGCAAGTTTAGTTTTTTCATCGTCTATTGTAGGGTATTGGAAGGTGAAGTTGAGAAGGGAGAAGTCCTGCTATGTGTGCAGGTTCGTGCTCGTAAGCGGGTTTTGTACACAAACTGTCGTGCAGGGTCTCATTCTGTCGCTTCCGTCTGTTGCACCTGTCAGGACTGCCTGAAAGTCTAGGCTTATGATTGCTTATGGATGTGGTTTGGCCCAACATGATTCAGATATTGGAGCCCTATCAGGAGAAGCACGTGAGGTCCCCTGGGCAGGAAGCTAAACAAAGCCTTCAAAATCCCCCCAAAGCAACCACGCCAGCCTTTGCGGCCCAGCATGCTCCACGTCCGAAACAACCTCCTAGTGTCATCCGATGATGATGTTCCTGCCTGCATGTTCTCGCCAGCCTTGAAGTCCTCTCGATTACTAATGCAAAGCGATGGGCATGCTGGGCATCCTTGGATTTTTGAGGCGAACAGGGCATCTCACCATTGGTCACTATGCGGAGGTGCGTTGAAAGCAGTCTGGGATGGGACTTTTTGTTTGGGTCCCTGGGTCGCATATGTCGCGTCAGGCACCGAGGCCCTGTGAGGCTCTGGCAGATGCATACTGCACCATGCCTTGCATCTCATATCTATCACAGTCCAATCCCTGCATGAAGCAGTCTTGTTATTGTAAAACTGACTCAGAGGGTACGCCGGCGGACCGAAGGATGGCACAGTGTTTGCATTTTCGAGCCTCGTACTTTGGCAGAATAATCCTGCATCAATAGACTGACATGTTTAAAGTGGTGGCTGTTCCTCGAAGGGTTTACTAGGCCCCCGCAAAGAGCGCAACAGCAACTGTTGAGTGTGTTCGTTGCTACAGTCGTACGAAGCATTGATAAGTGGCTTCTAACCCACTGCATGCTTAGAACCTGCTGGCAAAACCTCAAACTTGGAAGGACAAGGGCGGCTCCTGCGAGAGCATTAAGCAGGCAGGGCCGGCATGTTGAAATTGGACTGGCAATGCCGGAGATGCGGCCCTGATTGGGCACGTCTGAAGCTCCCACCCTCAAGGATTGCAAGCGCTTAGCGTGCATTACTGATCGCCTGTCCGAGCAAAATGGATTTATGTATCCATTGGAAGACTCCAAGTGAGCTGGACGGAGCTGTTATGGCATCACAGCTTGGGCAAGACTGTCAGGTCCTTCGCTGGTCACCAGATGACAAGCAGCGGATCGGGGAACCTGTGCAGCACAATGCGGGCACACACTTTGGACTTTCATAGGCAGGCAAGCGAGCTGCTCTTCAGGCACGAGTGATCAAATTTACACTGCCAAGTACTGCGTGCTCTGCTGAGGAGCTCATTCGGGACCTACGCACCTACTGGGATCGGAAAAAAGGCTTCTGACTCTGGGGATTCTACAAGAAACCCCATGTCAGAATTCAGATCCTCCATGATTGCCACTCGATCACTGTCCGCTGCAGCTGCTTAGCGACGGGTGCTTCGATGAATCCGAATTCTGCCCAGCACAGGCAGAGTCGTCATCTTCTCAAACATGCGCATTACCGCAGACAGCCTGGCACACCAGCTGCAGCGTGAAAGTTGCCTGCCTGAACTGACTATTTTTGACTAGCTGAAGAGCTGAAGGCTTTGTGCATGGCTTTGTAGCTTGCTCGGGATGCCTCGGAGCCTCCCATCAAGTAATAAACTCGCAACACTACGGCCAAGACGCTTGCATGTTGGCATGGGATACTGCTGTTGCACAGGTGAATGTCCGCGCATGTCCGTGCTATTTGGTGGCTGCTGTCTTGTAAGTAGAGCTATCAGCATCTGATGCCGAGAATCGGAAGGCATGACCTGCCGGCACCTACATGGCAAGCTGGACCAGGCTGAGTTTCAAACTCTTGCACCAGCTAAGCACAAAAATGGGTTGTTGACAACTCATGTCTGCACGGCACGTGTTGTCCCTTCATGTCCCTTCTATGGGTCCAAAGCGCCTAACCTTCAGCCCCACAGTAGACCGTCAATCTTCTTGAAACCAAGAGGACATGCTTGCACTCTCGCGATATTTGCCCATCTAGCCCTACAAGCATCTCGCCTTCCATGTTCCCATGGAATTTCTCCATCATCTTGCTGCTGTTGCATGCGTCCTTTTCAGTAAGTTTTCAGGAAGTCAGAGAGAAGGTCTTCGATGGATTCCGAAGAGGCACGGAGTTGCCAAACTGTAGTAACTGGAGTTTGGCCAACATATGCAGGATTAAATGTTGTCGAGGATTCAGCATTTCTTTTGGTGGTTTTCAGTCCTAAGATCAATTGAGGTGAGTTCGACATCCTGGTCGCAACCAACGTTGCGCCGGTATCTGAGGGAGATACTCTGACTGGATCTAGTCACAACGCTCGAGGCTTTCATGACATTCTCCTCTTGCCTGTTGACACCTGTCCTGGCCTGCTAGCTAGGGCAGCTTGGGCCGGCTGCCGCAACGGTCTCCGTTGTTCTGTGACCAGGTCGCGCGGCCTTGACTTCCCTGATGTTTCCTTGGTCGTCCAGTTCAACCTTCCGGAGGACATGCTGCAAAATACTTGTTTGGGGCTCATGAGAATTCTGCGATGCTGAAGCGATGCTGGATTTAGTGTTTGAAATCAAGTTCTGAGTGCATGGCGTGATCAGCTGTGACAGTAAACTCAGCAGCAAGTGCTTGGAAGGAGGTTGGCAGGATAAAGGACCTTTGTCTTGCTGCCTCAGCGCAGGACATCGACGTGTACACTCATCGCATCATGTCCGCCACAGTCAGGTACTGGCTATAGATCATACGACTGGGTGCCTGATGGCAGTTCCACTGGATTTGGTTGGTCATGTCGGAATGCCCGAGAACTCTTTAGCCAGTGAAAGCTGGACATGTTTTTGCAACATCCCGCTGCTTCATTCTGAGAAGGGCAGAGGATGTGAGAGTTGCAGTTGTCGGCTTAAAGTGACCACGACAAAGGTATCCTGCATGCAGACCCATACATGTTACTAGCACCACGGGGATGGAAAACAGAATGCATGCCTAGCTGTGCTAGCTGCACCCCGTAGCACCCGAACGGAGTTCTTGCATGTAGAGACTGTTTTCCAGCAGCCTTTTTTCCAAGGAGTGGGTAGAACTGGACGCATCGGTCAGGCCACTTCCTCAGCCAGTCGACGCTTGAAGTCCTGCAAATTCATCAGCTATAATGAGAAGTCTGGCCTTTCAAGCTGTCTTGTCAGAGGGAGGCTTTCTAATTGAAGTATTTACAGACTTGACTAGACTAGCAAATTAATGCTCTTGAGGAAAATGAGGCCGTCCCTCCAAACACCCTGGGTTCTTCCACCGGCAATGCTTGAGACCTGTGCTTCGGCTGTTGACAGAAATTCCCTCAGGTCGGTCTGGCCCTGGCATATATGGGCCCCAAGGATAAAAAGATCGCGACGAAGCTCTTGGAGCCTTGCTCATGACCGTACCAATAAGCCAGAGCCAATAAGCCAGAGCTGAGTTGGTGTAACGTTAAAGAGATCATCTCCAATGCTGCTGCCTGTGTCTAAGTTTTGAAGTTCATTGAATGATTTTGTCCAATTTGGTCCAGACGGGCATGTGAAAGACGGCTCTGCCAGACGCTGTCAGCCAGGCTGTTCCGCGCCCTTGCCCTTCCATAGAATGAACGCCAGACATGTTCTTGGTTCTTGAAGAAAGCCAAGGAGTTCCTGGAGCTGAACAAACAGGAAGTTCCCGAACCTCGGCTGGCAGAAGCCGAACCGGCATGACGCTGGCTCGACATGGCTAGACTAGACTGTGAACTGGTCATGGCCTTTGATCAGCAGAAGTTGGCCGATGCAGCAGGAAGTTGTGCAGCTTCGGCCATGTTACCAACATAGCCAGGCAGTCAGTTGGCGGGATTCACGGCAAGACAAGTTAGGGTCAAGAATGTTTTTGCAGGTGCCCCCGAAGCTTTCCACCCCACTGCGCAATGTGCCAAGTGTTCAGCAGCTTCTCCCAGAGCCTACCCCCCCCGCAAAAATCTCTTCAGCCCTTGACTGGGGAAAGCTAAACATCTTTACCGTCACCGTGTGCATAGTTCCAAGATGTTCCAAGGACTTCCTTCGCGATCTCTCGCTCAGGGTCGAGACACTGCGGCGGGGCCGCTGACCCTAAGCGGAAAAGATGCCGCCTGCCCCTGGTTGAGGCAATGCCATCCTTGTAGTTGCCCTTGGCCGTCGAAGAGTCAGATCACGAGGATGGTTGGGAAGCACCTTGCTGGCGCAAAACACCAGATTGACACTGGCTCGCAGCTCTTCCACTTTCCGCGGATGCAAGCGCTCGCTGAACTTTGCCGAACCATTCATCTCAACTCCGGCCAGTCAAGCTTGGTCAAGATCCAGTACATACAGTTGCCTGATGTTGCGTAAGCATAAATAAAATACCATGCAAAACAATGCCCATAGATCACCTCATATTAAAAGAAAACAGCCGACCTGTGAAACCACAACATCAGAACCTGGTTCAGAAGGGGCTCGGGGTGCGGCCGCTTGTAGCGATGGCGCTCGTTACAGACGGTGAGAGGAAATTGGAGGATTGCTCATAGGGCTTCCGGCGCCTAGTGGGAGCGTGTCATCCAGAAGCTTCAGCACGCCATCCTTAAGACCTTCTCTCTAGTGCCACTGGAATGTCAGAATGTCAAGTGGGCAAAGACATTTGAAAAGGGAGCGAGAGATGAGCTTGTCCAGGAGTACAAAACTCGCGAAACCATCTACCTCTCAGCTCTTGTGAATCAGGACTGCTTTAGTGCACCTTTGTGTTTGTTGGGAGGTAGTGCTGCCAGCTTGCAGCGCTGATTTGGTTGGCTCAGGGGCAACAGACGTGGCCTACTGTATCTACACAGTCATGTGTGACGGTGCTTCCTACGGATTTCACGCGCCAGGAGGCTGAGATGAGCCAATTGAGGCATCTGCTGTTGCATGTTTTCGAGCTTCAAGACTATGGGACCTTTTGTCCATGCGTGATTTTCAGCGGCCATGGCACGCATTCCACGCTTTGGCACTTGAACGCAACACAGTTCCGGCGCCCAATTTCTCCCAAGACAGGTGCTCAAAAGTTGGCTTACAGATCCTTGTAAGCCACGTTTTGATGCAGTTCTTCTGAACCAACAATGTTGTTCTTCAGCCATGTGTGCCAGAGGAACTTGACAACTCGCAGGTTCGTGCACAGCTACTTGTAGGAAATATGGCACTCATATCCTGTGAGCCGGTATGCAATAACAGTGAGCAGCGCCGCGCATTTGCCAGGGGCTTGGCCAGCGAGATTCTCGGTGCCTTTGGCGACCAGTCGCTGGCCGCCCAGCGAGGTAAGCCGCGGGAGTGCTGCATATTGGAGGGCTTGCGGCAAGCGGCGCTGTCTACATGAAGCGGCGCTGTTTGGGGCCTAAAGCCAGGGTAGAGCATGGCCTAACAGAGCGTGTTTGGAGGCGAGTGACAAGGGGGTACATTCGTTTGATTTGGAAGCCGTGGACTTCAAAAATATTTGAGATCATGCAAGCCCGGGCTCCTCCAATGGACAGAAATCCTTGAGCAAATGCGGTCAGTGAACTCCTGTAGGGCTATGATGTCACCTGCTCGGATGTCTCTGCCTCACTTGCCCTTCTTGTGATCAGGTGCGCTTGCAGACGCGACCAGCAACATGGAGGCCGGGTAAAGAACACACAAGTGGCTTGACGGGGATGCGAAATCCCCCAGCCAGCACCCTGAGAACGATGACAGGTGCTTATGCTTCGGCAGCAGGCAGCCGGGAGCTGCCTTTGGGTGAGACTTCACGTTTGACCTCATGGTGACTCGTTCCATGGAACCTCAGCAGCGCGAGCTGCAGTGAGGCTCGCGCCAAAGAGCATCGCCTCAGCCAGCTAAAGGATGATGTTGAGGCCACATTTTCGATTTTCGTCTTCAGCCAGCCAGCTGGCTCCTTGCTCCGCACACAGGCCAATCGCTTCGATCAAAGCAGCGCAGAGGGCAAGGCCTTGGAGCGCAGTGAGAGACTAATACTGTGCTCCACTTGAGCGGTATTTGACTATGCGGGTGAGTTTCTCAATCCATTAATGGTGATATGAAGGGGCAAGTTGGCTTTGTGCTTAACAGTCATGCTAGGCCCTGATCCTCAGAGGTATGCCGGCAGGAACAAGCCTGAAAGTGCCTGTGCTGCAGGCCTTGATGCAGAAGTGCAAGGCCATGAGAATGTTGGAACTACATGCCGCCGATCATCGTTCTGCCTTGCTAGACACTGGTCCGAACTTGCTCTGCGCCCAGAAAGGTAGCAATGATCCGTCTATGATTTGTATGTGTGAGCCCCCCTCCGCCTCGAGGATCCTTTCATTGCATCTCGATCTTTTGATTTCGGGCTTCTTTTGTATGACTTTAATAAATGAGGTATCTTGCTGCATGAGATTGATTTTAATTTTTGAGCGGCTGCAGGGGAATGCCATGTTGAGGGAAGGATGCGGATGGCGGGGAAGTTCGTGGGAGCATGGGTGGTGAGCGGGTGGCGGAGAAGGCCGGCGAATGATGGTGGGAAGGCTTGGAGGTCCTGGTTCAGTAACGATTGCCCCCGAGAGTTTAGCTGGTTCTCTCTTGAAGGTTGGTTCGCTAACTTTTCCGGCAATTGCGCACGGCTAAGCAGCCTGCCAAGCAATCAATCGTGGGTTGGTTGCCCACGAGTATTTCCAATTAAGCGCGTTTCTTATCAATAATTGCCATCCACACATAACTGGCTGGCATTTAGTGTGGAGGACGGTGGCAGACGTGTCAGGCCCTCCTGAACGAAAATCGAGAGCTTGGCGAACTCATGCGAGAGGCTGGGTGGTTAGTTTTCAGAGTTTCGCTGCGCGGCATTGAAAGCAGCCAGATCTGAATGACTGACATGAGGAGCGCCTAGCCGACCTCCGTATGGCCCTTCAGAATGAGCAGAGGCCATGATCTGCAACGGTGTCAGCACAACAGCGATTCCCCATGTTCACTCTCAGCCCGTCAAGCTTGGTGAGTTGATGAATGGCAGACTGCTTGCCCTGCTATTCCATGCCACGCTGTTCCTGTTCGAGGCTTTAGACTCCTGCACGAGTTTACTCTTCGTGCCTCGATCCGGCTTTCCTACTCTTACCAGGCGAAACGCAAATGAGTAGCTTTCCCTCCCGCACTCTCGGTTCGTCTCTGCGAAGTCAAGCTCTTTCTTGCTTGCTTGCGCTCTCCGTTTGTCTCCATTTTTCCCTTTGTCTTTGAACTGGCATTGCTGAAGCGGAAAACTGAACTGTGAGCTTTGAGCTCTTTCATCTTGGCATTCTTCTTTGCTCCGAGCAATTCGCGAAAGAGGAGGATAGACGCAGATCTTTCTGTGTAGAACCGTGTGAGCTGTAAGGCCTGACAAGTCAACCTAGAAGCTTACCTGCTAACGACGGTTGGCTCAAGCCTTGATGCGTGAGCATAAAACGTCTGCTGCACCAGTGCGAGGGCTGATTGCTTTCGCACTGGTAGCGGAGCTGCAGCTCCTAGACCCTTTGGGCATACTTTGCGCGCACTGCGCGCTGCGCTTTGCTGTAGACCGAAAGGCATGGCAGCAATCCTCGAGCTCCTCCAATACTCGAACCTTCACAGCGGAGGATGACGCCGCAGCCTCCACCGAGGGGAAGCCAAGGTTCAACGGCGAGCCCACAAGGCTTGCGGAATATGTGTTCCGGGTGAGGGCTCGGATGTACGAGGAGAAGGCCATGAGCAGGGAGGAAAAGGACAAGCTTGGACCCCTTGGACTCAGGCTTGTGGAAGGGCTATCAGGCACTGCCTTGCGCTTGGCACAGACGATGAGCTTGGAGGACTTGGCCAAGGAGGATGGTGCCGAGAAGTTGTTGACCGCTCTGGAGGGGCAGTTGAAGTCGAAACGACTCCAACAAGCCTGGGAGCTCTACGCTGCTGGCGCTCAGTCTACGGGATCCTGTCCAGGCAAGGTGGCGAGCCGATGTCGTATTATGTGCTTCGAAGGCGACTGTTCTGCGGAAATAGCACTTCCGGACCTTGTGCTAGCTGAACAGCTGCTTGCTTCTTCTTCAATTTCTCATGACCATCAGTTGCTTGTTCGCACGGCCCTCAAGACCGAGATCGCCTTTGATGCAGTCGCCGACGAGCTGATCGCGCAGCACGGCAAGACCCACGAGCGCGAGAATAGGTGGTCACCAACCTCGCCATGGTAGTGGCAAATCCTGGCGTGGAACACGTTCCTGGAAACCAGCCGGCTACTTTGCGGACAAGGTCACCGATGGCGGCCAGGAGTTCACCGACGACATCCCGGAGGATGGCGATGCCGAGGCGTACCCTGGCGGAGGAGGAGATGGACATACTGGATGAGGAGATTGGATACTTTGTCGAGGACGGCGTTGACCTTGATGACCCGGACGTTGCAGAGTATGTGGCAGATTAACAAAGAAGACTGGTACCCATCCCACACGAGGAGCAGTAACAGCAGGGATGCAACCATGACCGCAGGCACTGCCAGAGGAGTGCAAACCCGCTGCGCGAAGAAAGCGCGCGACAAGCGGGCCCGCGAACAGGAGCCAAGATTGTCAGAAGTTGTGCAAGGTGGCCGACATGTGCTGTGAGAGAGCCAGCCCAACGCAAAACAGGAAACAAAACTTGGCAGCAGGCGCTGACGTGCTCGGCGAGAAAGCCAGAGAACCGCTCGGCCAAGGTAGCTGCAGAGGAAATGAAGGAAAAAAAGAGACGGCCCTGCTGCGCCGCGTCCTGGTGTTTGTTGGAATACAGGAGCCTAGCGCCTATCAGCAAAGACCAGAGAGGTGTAAAGGATCTGAGCTGCGTGAGATCGACGGGGAACCGCCGACGCTACGACGTGGCATGCTTAGTCGAGCAGAAAAATAGCACATGGCATGGCGTCGACAAAAAAGGCCCGTGGCAAGATGGAGAGCGTGCAACAAAATGGAGCCAGGTTTTGGACCGGCCTCTTCTACCTAAGAAGCACATCGCCGCGTAGCCTTCCGAAGAAGCCGGGCCAGGGATTGGACGCAAAACTTCCGCGGGCCGTGCCTGGACCGTAGCTGTGGCGAGCGTGTCTTCCGAACCGCTAGCGTCCCAATCTCTGAGTCCAGGGCTCCTTGGGTAAAACTTGGCAAATTGGTGGGAAACTCTAAGGGTGCCTGTTGGCCTTTGCAGATGACACTGGCTTCTTCGGCAGTTGCTGAAGATAAGTCGAAGCGAAAATGGTTCCGTTTTTGTACGAACAGGCCCTGGACACCAGACTGGACAAGCTGAAGCTTCTTTCCGGTGGCCTGAAGATCCTCCTGAGCTTTGCCAACTCTGCCAGGAGCATCCAGGAGCATTCCTTGAGCTGTGAACTCAAGTGTGCACTTCCTTGTCATTCTCCTCCTTTGCAAGAGGGGCCTCAGCAGCCTTCCTGTCAGCTTTGGCACCTTTGCCTGCAGCTTTCTTGTCCTGGGTCTTTCCCTTCGATGACTTCTCAACTGATGCTGCGACGGCCACCTGGCCGCATGTGAAGACTGGGCAAAGATCCTCCATGCTGCCGCATCATCTTTCACATTGACCTCGCGAGAGGTTCTTCAGGCACCTAAGCTGCTTCATCCGGCCCGTAACGTAGAATCAGAACACCTGACCGCAATTTCCGGTGTGCTTCACCACATTTGGCACGTTATCTCCTGTGCCAGGGAGGACTGCTAGGCGCTATGGCGGCAAGCGGTATGTGAGCTCAGTATGCACATCATACGAGCGCGTCGCAGACGGGGCCATGCAAATCTGTTGCCCAGAAATGAAACAGCCAGAGAACGTCTTGCTGGAGGTTGCGCGAGATCCGTTTTGCGCAGGATTGCAACGCGTGGTGTAGCACAAAATCCCTATTGGGTCTCTGTACTCCCTCTGTCCCACGCAACTTCCAATCTCATGGTCATTTTTTGTTCGCGCGTCGCGCAGAACTTAGTTCTACCTGCTACCACCTTCTGAGGGAAGTGATACTCAGGCAGGTGGCACCAGCTCTCATACCTTCAGCTTGTTCCTTTTTTTGCCTGTCCAAGAGCGTACGGTGCGTTTCACTAACAATCTTGGGGGTGCAAAGCTGAGGGCGACAGGTTCGTGTTGAGCCATTGCAGGAAAAATGGCGAACTCCAGAAACAGTGTGAGGAGCCGGGCTATTGCTGGTGGTTTACTTGTTTCAGCAGTGGAGTCGGATGTTGAGTTGGTGTTAGCTTAAGGTCTGGGATCGAGATTGATTTGCCTGTGGCAAAGCTTGCTTGGGGTGTTTGCATCCTGGGAATGCTCGGCCGGTGCACAGGACGCTGCCGCATTTTGTAAAGAGCTGGCGCAGGACTCGAGCGGGGCCCAAACGGCTTGATACAAGTTTGTCACTTTCCTATGATCTGCGTGGGAGTGTGCACAGTCATGTAATTTCAACCAATCTTTTCACAGGATGGTGAGAAGCACCAGGCCAGCCTGGCAAAAGCCGCCAGAGATCTGCTGCAGGCCACAGCAGCCATCGAATTTTGATGCGATATGGCGTGTTCATCTTGCTGGAAGGCCAGGAACGAGTTAGAGCTGCTCAGGAGGCAGCGGCATGAAGCGCGCTTGCACCGCAAGCAGGCGGCACGGGCTCAAGAGTTTTCGAGAGTCGAAAGCTGCAGCAGTCATACTGAAATCACGCTTGCAGCCATGTTGCATTCGATCACGAAGCCCGGATGTCAACAAGCCAGCCAGGCATTACTTGCAACCCAGCTGGCCAGCTGTATGTATTTGTATTGGGTGATGAGACTTGGGGCCTTGAAAAATGTTATGTTGATATGCATTTTGCCACTACCGTAGCTACAGTTGCAGATCCCTAGCTTAGCCGCCTGAGCTAGTTCGGCTTCAGGAGAAACTGAGCCGTTTTGCGAATCCCATACGCCGTCCTAGCGACAGGCCAAGTTGCAGCGGCAGCAGGCTGAACGACTGGCTGCGGAGGCACACTTGTTCTAGCTTTCAACTGGAATTTCTTCAGTTCAGACTTTTTCACCTGCACACTGCACCTCCAAGCCAAGCAAAGAGTCCTACTTGCAACAGACAGGTGCAATCGGATCTAGCAGGGGCGGAGGCTGGAGTTGTTCCTTGCGCTCTCTCGGGACACAGCCTAGCCTATCCAGGAGTTCCTACGGTACAACTTGCGCAGATTCTTTTGGGAACCTTTGAACATTCTTTCAACTTGCTGCATAGATATAGGTGTCTGCTGCTCAGGCAGGCTAAGCAGCTGAAGATTAGAAGGTTGCGCTTATCCAAAGTATGTGTGCCGCCGTCCTAGCTTGTCATCCGCTCTGACAGTGCTAGCCCCGGCACCTAGCCTCCCGGGCCAGCTGACTGTCGTGGTGCACCTTGCCGCAGATTCCTGGCGCAGTCGTTACTCCGGTGGAAGTTGTCGACGATGATGAGGTATGCTTTGAAGTGCGAATGAAACAAGTGAGCTGGTGTGTGTCATTATAGTTTGCGTTGGCATTGCAACAGCAAGATCAGAAAGATGTTCAGAAATTGATGATGGACAATGGTGTTCTCCAGGCCAGCTCGAACATGTAAGCGCCCTTCGCTAGCCTTCGCTAGAGTCCCTTCGCTAGAGTCTCTAGCACGACCTTGGGTTGTGAAGGAGCCTGCAAGACATGCTCAACAGGCCAGGGTCTCAGACAGGGTTCAAGGGCGGGTCTTCAACAGCATGAGGCCACAGGACCCACAGGCTTAGCAACTCTCATCGTCAGCAATGCTTCATTCCAAGGTTCGGAGTGTTGAGCTTTAAAGGTGTCATCCCACACTTGACTTCTTGCTCATTTTCGGAGTAGATCCCGAGGCACGAGACAAGGACCGGATGCCTACAGCTTTCCACAGGTCAAGTTGGATGACCTGGATAGGAAAGACAATTTTAGCAGGCAAAGTTGTTGTACCAGAGCACGAATCATCCGATCGACTTGGAGCCGGACCTTGTGGGTGCTGGATTGCGCTCTAATGAGGCCAAACTCAAACCTGGTCAGGATGGTGGCGAGAAAGAGAAGAAGTCCAAGAAGAGAAAGGCACCGGCTTGTGAGTCTGTAGTTTTGACAAGCTCTTCTTTTCTGTCTTCCTCGGGGACCTTGCAATCATCACGGCATTTTTTCTTGGCATATCTCGAGATTGCTTCACAGACATGGCGACTTGCGAAGCTATCTCTTAAGAATAGCAAGGTTGGGTCGACCCTTTCTGTCATGCACTCTAGATCCAGCCAAAGGTGGCAAGCCTCCTAGCCAACCTCAAACGGCTGGTGCAGCAGGTGTTTTGGTTGAGTCATGATGTCACGCCCAGCGACACCGGTATTTAATGGCACGTTGAGTTTGGCAGGCTAGGGTGCATGCTGTTCATTCCCAAAGCTTCCTGATTCTGCTGCTTTGGCTTGAGCATTGCTGTGAGCCAAACTGGCAGCCGCTGATCGTTTGACACCCAGCCCTCCCTTGTTCATAACACAGCCTCCTGTGGAGTCCCGCAGTTCTGCGAGGCTTACGCAGTGGTGCGACGTCGCCAAGTTGTTTTGTGTCAATCCTTATGCCGGTCCAGTTATATTAAGGATGAATCGGGCGGATCCTGCATGGGCGTGAGAGCCATGCTGGCTTCGGACAATGTTGCCTGTGAGACAGGTGGTGGCTACCTGTGTGACATCAACCCAACGCAGTATTCTGGAAGTGTCCCAGGTTGGATTGCACTTCAGCTTGCGATCAGGATGAGAGAAAAAGGTGTTGAGCAGAATGCGAGTAGAGTAGCGACATGCAGTGAACCTTGGAATGAAAGAATTGTTGAGCACACAAGTATAAGGAGACGCACTCCAGGCAATCAATGCAGGAAGCCTACGCCGGAAGCAAGCAGAGCCAAGCGAGAGTCAGGGGCCGAGATCAAGAGAAAGAGTCGTGGCAAGCAGCGCCAAAAGAAGAAGACGACAAACTACAGAGCTCATGACGGCTGGGAGAGATGTCGCGTGAGAACCAAAAGGAGCTGTGGTTGTGTAATAGCCCCGCGCATATTACTTTCCATTAACACGTGCCCAGTTGCAGGGCATACGCTTTGTTTCGAAGAGCAGTACATGTTTAGAATGTTTGACCGATAACTTCGAACACCTGGAAAAGGACAAAAGTTAAAACGTTGCTTCGGCAAAAGCGGGTGACAACTTCATACACTCCCCGTTCTTTTAAAAAGGCAGCATCATCATGTACGTATTTCATCATGTACTTATTTCATCCTAGCCCACCGCTTACTTTCAAGAGCGTATGACTTTCTGAAGTCACCTTCTACCTGGACTGATCTCCATCAGCTTACCCAGCACTCCCTGGACTCCCCTTAAGTCCTCAGCCTCAAGATCACATGGAGCTACTTTGCCCTGCCAGAAGAAGCAGTTTCGGAATGTAGAACCATTTTGCGCAACCCCATCCGCTGGTTTTGCGTTCAACTTGAGCATTATGATCGGTCTTCACGTCTCAGTGTAGATGAGTGCACGCCCTGAAACATAAAGGGATGTCTGTAGTGTGCGCCACCAGCACAGAGGAAAGTTGGAAATGCTGCTTTTAGGCTCAAGGCAGGGTTCGTTGACCGGTTCCAGAAGTGCTACGAAGCCGTTGCATGGAGAGCGGAAGTGATCCCTCGGAGGCTGTATTTTTGGTGCTGGGATGCTTGACACATTTGATCTGCCTCAGCCGCGGGATGTACCTGGCGCTCATGCATTGGCAGCAGCTGTGCAAGCTAATTCGGAGCGCTGTGGCTGACCTACGGTACTGTGCGAAAGGATTTAACTATCAAGAAGCTCCGTTCTTGGAGGCCAAGGTGACCAATTTGCGCGTACGAGTGGCGCACATCTACGTTCATTTGCTTTTGTTGGTTAGCGGCCCACTCATCGCCTGGACCATATGGGTTATGTGGCAAGGTCGTTCAAGACTGACAGAGCCGTCAAGATGGGCCATACTAATCTTCTTTGTAGCTGGCACAGTGCACTTCATAAGGCCGCGTGTTCTTTCTGCCTCCAACGCAAGCTACTGGTACGTCGCAGTTATGGCCATGGGCCTGGTTGGGATTTGTGCTGCAATGGATGAGCTGCGTTCTCGCGAAACTGCTGCTCCGCATGAAGCAGCCGTTGCACCTCTCTTTTTTGCGTTCTTCTTTCGGGTGCGCAGCCAAAAGTAAGCCCTAATGACTCTACGAGGGTTTGGCAGCGTCTTCTCCTGGACCCACTTAAATTTAACGATCCCTTTTGCAAGTTTAGTCCAGCCCCGACATGGCTTATCTATTCGTTGTTGTCTAGCTGCATCGAGAAGTCCCTGAGGTACCAGGCGTCTGCATGACTGGCCGCGTTTCGCTGGTTTTGCTCTGCAACTCGATCCAAAATCCTTCACAGATTGTCATATCTTGTGCTGCCATGTTTTGCCTCAGGATAGGCAGCAGTCTGCAGCGAATGACTTCATATGCGAAGGGCATTTGTAGCAAGCACCCAGTTCTTCTAGCATTTCACGACGTCGGCGTTGCACAACCGCAAGGCCTCAACCCAGGTTATCAAATGAGTCAATCAGTAAGCCTAGGCTCGAAAGCCCTAAAGCCTCAAGCCCGTTCAAGGCAATGTCGCACTGTCGGCGGTGTCTTTGCTCCTACTTGGCACGTTTGTCATCCTTGGCAGGCATTCTTAGTATTCGATGCCACATATTGGTTCAATCAACTAGTGGTGGTTTCTGCCTGCATTTCAGTTGAATCTTTCAGTTTTCCCAGTTCAGCATTAGGTGACCATAGCAGTGTCGCCATTTGCATCAGGGGCCCTCGAGTTGATCATCAGATGCTTGGGCCCGCTCAGAACGTTCTGGCTTGAGGAGATGTGTTGAGGGCTGACTTGCTGTTGCGATCCTACTTGACCGTCAACATCAAGAATTGCAAACATCATTCTCCTTAGCCTTAAGTGTTGTCTTTACCAGAAACGCTTCCAGCCTCGCCGTGATGGCTTCTGCATTCGCTGCAAGCGACATCTTTTGAGTTCTACTGACCATCGATGATACATGCAAGCCTTTCGCCAGTTGAGCCTGTTGTGGCTCAAGCTTGAGTTTTTCTTTTTTTGTGGCTTTCGCTTTGACATTTCCAGCTTGTCGAGCAGGGTCTTTAGACTCCCTAAAGCATAACCCGCCCAAGCACCGGACGAGTGCAAGCCGGGCAGCTAAGTCAAGCTTCATCAGCAAAAGATGTCATAGCAGGGTGGAGCTGACAGCATTTGCCTCATCTGCTCCGATCTTGACAGTATTGTCACCATGTAAGCAGCAGCAGCTACAGCAGCTGCAACTGCTGCGGCTTCTGTGGCCTTTGTCGTCGATTTTTTCTGCTCTGATTTCAACTTCTGAGTGTTGCCGTGGTGGTCTTGGTTGACAGTTGTACTGACTGTTTGCAGTGGCGGTCGGTGATTGTTGCTACCATTTCACGTTCGGGGGGCTATGATGGTGCTGGCGGCGGTGGCGGTGTGGTAGTTCTGCCTTCGCCTTCACTGTTGCTTGCTTTCTCTTTGTTGGCCGTGGCTTGTTGGCAGCAGCAACAGCAGCTCTGATTAGGAAGTTAGCTTCCCTGTGCCATACTTACGACTTTAACTTTGCACTGCTTGGCACCCTTGCCTTGTTCTTGCAGAATGCAGCATCGGACATCAGTGGATTTTCCGAGGCCTTTTCACCTTGGCGATAACGTTCGCCCTGCAGATCTGCCTTCTGAAGGCTAGCGGGCAGCACACCATCCAAACAATTTCAAACCTGCACATCACTTGCACATCACGCTGTGTTGCAGTAGACATGACGCAGTCTGGAATTTAGGCAGCTGTAAGACCTAACTCTTCTGACGTCTTTGTGTTATCTTCGTGTCGACCTGAGGCTGTGGGAAAGGAGGTCAGCTACAACGAAACGGCCACGGATCTGCAAGCCGCTACAGCCCTTTTGTTGCTTTGCTTGACGAGTTTCTGCTTCTTTTTGGATTTTCTCTGAGTAAAGTAGATGAACATCCTCGTTCGAGATGGCAGGAGAGCTTTCTCTTGGCTGCAGTTTTAATGTGGGAGCCACCCTGCAAAGCCAGCACATGAAGGGCCGCGATCCGCAGAACCCCTGCCAATTGCCAGACATGCCCAAGAATCCCAGAACTGGTGCAAAGCCATGGGAGCTTGAGGCAGCTGACCTGCGACGCGGTAGTAGAGCTGGATGCTGACCTGCGCATGGCTAACCATTCTGCCGATTTGGCTGCGATCCTGCTTCCAGCTGAGATGAAGTCCATCTTTGTTTCTGGCTTTCGTATTTCCCTTGTCAACAGTCATGAAGTTTTGATCCATCAAACTTCCTTGATGCGGAACCCCTGCCAGGCTCAGGGATCGGCCTGGACTTTCCCTGGCTGGCATGAGATTCGAAGAGTTTCTAGCAGGTCCAGCCTCTCTGCGCAACAGTTGATGGGGCCTTGAGCTTGCCTTGAGGGAGATGTGAAGCGGAGTAGGGGATTTGCTGCGCATGTAGATCTTGGCTGTGGGGGAGCGCTCTGGCAGCAACATATGCGACAGGAAACTCGCCTTCTCACATGTAACCAGCTATGCAGCTATACAAGCTGGTCTGCACCAACTTTGAGGAAGAGCAGCGAGTGGCGATGCAGAGGCTCGGCCAAGCCAGGACTTCCGCTTCGCCTCTTGTCTTAAAGTCTTTTACGGGATTGGACAGGACTTGCTACTTGTAGCTGGTGGCTGGTGACTTGCAACTGCTGCTGCTGTTCCAGGGTCCTTTTCAAGAAGTGCTTGTCATAGCTGCTGGACTGAGATGTTGCCTGGTCCTTTGGCAGCAGGCCTTTCGCCCCTAGCCTTGAATTGCTTGGGCCTCAGGTCACACCGCATATTCGCACAAGCCTTTCGAACACGATTGGTGCTCGGAATGCAATCTAGTTCTGAGAGCCGTTTTTTGTTGATTTGAGGTCTAGATGCCAAGTGCGCAGTATCCAGAGCCACTTTGGGCATGTAGCTGGACAATCTGGAAAGCTGTTGGCTCTTGTAGTAGATGCTTTGGTC